AGTCATTCTTTCTCTCTCACACACACAGCCAGTCTCTCTCTCTTACATACACACACACACACACACACACACACACAGAATCAGTCATTGTTTCTCTCTCTCTCTCTCACACACACACACACAGAATCAGTCTATCTCACACACACAGAGCCAGTCTCTCTCTCTCTCTCTCTCTCTCTCTCACACACACACACACACACACACACACAGGCAGTCTCTCTCTCTTACACACACACACACATAGAATCAGTCTCTCTTTCGATCTCACACACACACATACACACTCTCACACATACATACACATACAGCCTCTCTCAAACAGCTAGTCTCTTTCTCTCTTACATGCACACACACTCACAGTCTCTGTATCTCTCACACATACACAGCTAATCTCTCTCTCTCTCTCTCTCTCTCTCTCTCTCTCTCACACACACACACACACACACACACACACACACACACACATTATGGAAAGCTCAAGGAAGGAAAAACCATTTTCCCACAAAGAAAGTCTCCCAACACTTGCTTTCTCAGCACAGAGTCTGGCACATTGAAGTGTTTACTACATGCTTGTTACCTGACTGACCAACCAAGGGCTAACAAGTTCTCAGTATCTAGTAAGGCTGGAACACACAATATCAAGTACAAGACATAATTAAAGAAAATCCAAGTGTGAAAACCAGTAAGCAAACAAGAATTCCCGGTGGCTTCTAGGCAGCTCGATCTTCTGGCTGCAGGGGATGTGGGCCTCTCAACAGACTATTACTACTATGTAAGGGTGTTGCTTGAGCAGAGCTACCAAATGGTCGCCTGCTCTCCAGGCAGGGAATGATGAGGCTTCACTGTTATTCTGGACAATACTAAGCCACCAGCTACATGGAGGCAAAGAAGCCAGTGTCTTCTTCACTTCACTCCCCCCTTTCTGGACAATTCTCCACACCCTCCTTGATAACAACCTTACCTCCCATCTGAGAACATGCCCATGCCAGAGCCCAGACCCTGGGGGAGCTGCCCCCTTGGGGCTCTGCTGTCCTAACGAGGGACACTTTGGGAAAGCTCCTGCGTATGTATCCCTTCCCTCCCTTCTCGCTGGCACCTCCTCTATAACCCCACCAGTCAGTCAATAAGCATTTATTAAGCACCTACCATGTGCCAGCACTGTGCTAAAGGCTAGGCAGGTATAGACACCATGAACCATGATCAAATCAACTCTCCCTTGGGTGTTGAATGGGTTGTTTCCATCTTCTGCCCCGTGGCCTCATTCACTATCCCTGTAACTTTCTGTAACCAAAGGGCCCGGCCCTGGCCACCACTTTCACCCAGATGCGTAGTTCCCCCCAGTGGAATGGCAGCTTCTTATCGGCAGGGCCTGTCTACTTTTGTACGAGCATCTCCAGCATACAGTGCTTGACACAAAATCAGCACTTAATAAATGCTTTCTCATTCCTTCCTCCACTCATTCATTTCTGCCTCCCTCAGGAGGGCAGGGTCTCTGTGAAAGGCTCATGAGAGGGAAATGCTTATTCACTATGGCTAGAAGGAGTCAAGGTAAACAACAGGCACCAGCATGAAGCAGAAAGTTTACCCGAGGCCCCATCTCTAGGCACATCCTTCAGACACATCCCTCCTCACGGCCCTCTAGGCATCCAGCATCTTTCTCTCTTCTACCTCCTCCTCTCTAAATCTGCTCTTAGATCCTTCATTAATACTCAGGTATTATGAGTGAGTAGTAACTTATGGTTTTATCCTACCCAAGACTACTTTCATTGTAAGAGGGAAAAGGGCTCAGGTGAGGCAGTGTAATATAGTGTATGGAGAGCCATTAGGAAGGCCTGGATTCAATTCAAGCCTCACCTCCAACACATCCTGGCTGTGTGACTCTGGGCAAGTCCTTTAATACCTCAGTGACCCAGGCAATGCTCTAAGACCATAAATTGCAAAGAAAATGCTGACCTGTCTTGGTTAAGTCAATGAATGCACAGGTCACAAGCCTTAGGTTAAAGAGATTCGACACCCAAGGTAGACAGTTTCAGCCAGCAGCCAGCAGAAGGAGGACTTACAGGCCTCAGGGCTTTCTACTTCATGGGATTATCACCATCTACTTGGCCTATGGACAAAATGGCCTCAATGAACGATCAGTAGGGAGGGTACAGAGCGCTGGGATTGTAGTCAGGACACAAGTGTGAGCTCAAATACAGCCTTTCACTGGGTGATCTTAGGCAAGCCACTAAACCTTTCTGGTGCTTGTTTCCTTCTCTCTAAAATGAGGACATTGGACTAGGTGGCCTCTGAGGGCCCCCGGTTCTGGTCTCTGGTCCTGTACTTCTATAGAGAAGAACGGGGATCTGGGGTGGGGAGCAAAGAAGAGAGCACTACTCCCTCTTCTAGAAAGGCCTACAGTAAGGGCCACATTGATCATGGGTATAAGAGTCTGCATATGCTTGTTCTTTATTAGGGATGGGGGGTTGAAGTCAACAAATAGCAAAGCCTCAATTAACTGGAACTCAAGTAAACAGCATTCTCCTCTAGTTACCAAGACCCCCCCCCCCCCGAATTGTAGTAGAAATCAGCAAAGGAAAAGAAACACCATCAGGGATTTATTCAAAACTAAGCAATTTGCTAGAGGAGCTTTACATCCAGTCAAATCTCATACAATTTCAATGTTCATAGACTTGAATAACAAACTCATGTTTAGAATGTTGACTTTGAGACTTTATGAGGTCAATAATCGAAAGGAGGTTCAGTTGTGATAACGACCTAGAAGATGGAGAAATCTTTTAGAAAGTGTATAGGGAATAAGTATTTATTGAGTACCTACTACGTGTTAGGCGTTGTGCTAAATGCTTCAAAAATATTATCTCATTTCATCCTCACAACAACTTAGGGAGGTAGGTGCTTTTATTAGCCCAATTTGACAATTGAGGAAACTGAGGCAAACAGAAGTTAAGTGACTTGCCCAGGGTCACACAACTAGTAAGTGTCTGAGGCTGGATTTAAATTTAAGTCTTCCTGACTCCAGGTCCAGAGCGTTACCTACTATGCCACCTGATTGCCTTTAGAATACCTCATTCCTCAAGATTTCTGATTGAGGTTTTGCTATAAATAGCCTTAAATTGAGGTACATACCTCATTTTATACAGGGTGCCCCAAAAATCTTAGTGCAGATGAAAGCTATTAAGACTTAAAATTGCACTAAGACTTTTGGGACACGCTGCAAAATAATATTTTGCAAAGTCATACTCAAATCAACTATGGCCTAAGTAAAATGTATGAACATCAGCTTTTGTTTTTTGAATGCACTGAAAAACATGCTTTTTAAAGGCATCCTGCAGCAAATTCTTATAAGACTTATCTGTTTTGCAAGTTTCCATGGGATTTTCTTAAAAAGGACACATTTTTGTAAATGTTTTATACCAGGCTACTTAGAAGTCCTAAGACACTCTCTGCATTGTTACTTAATCTAAAAACAATTTTTCAGGAGGAAAAATGATTTTTAAAAAATCAGCCTCCCCTCACAATTGTATTATGCAGATGACTCAAAATCTTTATTTCCAGCCTCCTTCTTTTCCCTCAGGCCCAAGTGGGCTTTTCTAACTGCCTACTAGACACCTCCCCTCCAATATCCTTCCAATATCTCAGTTCAGCATGTCTGAAAGTGACCTCATCACCTTCTCTGCAAGGATTTGGACTGCCTCCTAACTGCTCCACTTCTGTGCAGAGCGCCATCATCTCCAAAATCTCACAGGTTCAAAACCTCAGTCATCCGCACTCTTCCCATCGCCTCAGCTCCTATATCCACTCAATTGTCAAGCTCGAGCCCGTCTACCTTGATTATCTCTTGCCTTGGACCTCTCCTGCCCGATCACCCTCCTCTAGTATGGTAGTTCAGGCTCTCATTATTTTCTGCCTGAATTACTGTAACCGCTTTCTAGCTGGTTGCTCTGCCTCTGGTCTCTCTCCTTTCCAATCCAGCCTTCACACTGCTGCCAAAACCATCTGCCTAATGCATAGGTTTGCTCCCACCACTCCCCCAATCCCCACTGTCTACTCAGTAGTCTGGCACTGAGGGTCCTCCACAATCTGCTTCCAACCTGGCATTCCTCTTCATGCATAAAGCCGCAGGTCAGCTCTTCCCTCAGCTGCCCCCTTGACTTTCTTGCACCAGCTGCGCCCCACCTCCCATGCCGGGGACATACTCGCAGTCCTCGCAAGCTCTCCAAATCCTTTCCTTTCCTTTTCTTTAAGGCTCAGCATCTTAATGCTACCTCCTTCATAGTAGCATCCCTGATCCTTGCAGGTAGGCACCTCTCCTAGGTACATACTCAGTCTTCTTATTATCCAAATGAATGTCTTGGGGAAAGGTACACTTCATTAAAAAAAAAAGACAAAAGAAAAAAAGAAAAATCTACGATTGTGCCTAGCACCTAGTAGGTGCCTAATATGAGGAAGATAAATTGTTAGGATTTGAGGAATCTGGACTACATAGTTCATAGATATACTTTCAACTCATTTCTCTTACTCACTGAGGCCAGAATGTTTTTAAAACTCCTAGTGTTTGATACTCCTCTTGTCATACAAACGGAATAACCTCAAAGCAGGCAACTTACCTGAGTTGGCTTCAGTGGCTTTGGGGGGGCTTCCTCTTTGGCTATGGCATACACATTCAGAGATGCCAAAGTGGTGAGCGCTGCCACCTTTTTCATCTGAGAGAGAAAAATCAGAGACCTCATCAACTGGGACCCTTTTCTCCCCTTTTCCTATGAAGTTCTGCGATCGTGTGAGGACTGCGTCAGCTGCCACCTAATACAAATAAAAGCCTGCATGCTCCATTTTGTACTTTGGAGGGGGGGACCGAGCTGGACTTGGGAGTGAGCAGAAACCTCTCATCTAAGACATGTGACCTCTCTGAGCCTCAGTTTCCTATCTTGCCAGAATGTTACAAGGATGAAAACGTATGCAAAAAACTTTGTAAAGCTTAAAAAGTGCTGTATAAATGTCAGCTATTATTTCTCCCCAAAATCCCTTTCTCATATTCATTATGAACAGATACCAGAAAACCTTAAGTGTTTGCTACCTACCTACGTTCGTACAATGTGTAACAGGATGAACACTAAGATGAGTCATAGATTTTTAGAGTGGGAAGGAACTTTAGTGTACGGCATGACAAAGTGCTTTGAATCCAGGAACTTGATGATTTGGGAGGGGGGAGAGGGGGTGGAGAAGCAAGAGAAACAAAAGGGAATGTGGGTGGCAAAAGCAGGATGTTTTCCACAATGTCAGGTGTCTAACTCAGACACTCACAGCTGCAATGAAACTTTCAAGAGCCAAACTCCATTTTACACATGAGGAAACTGTGACCCAGAGAACTGAACTGTCTTATCCAAGATCATACAAGTAAGAGAAGAAAGAGAACTAGGAATGGATTCCAGGTTGGCTGCCACCAAATCCAGCGCTTTTCCCAGGACTGCCACACATGAGAGCCATGAGGCATTTCTCTGGCTCTGCTAGGAGGCCTTTAGGAGTCTTGGTGTTAGCTTCCACTTTCACCTCATTCTCTCCAGAGAAATCCAAGCCTACCCTCAGGTGCATCTGGGCAGGCCTCACCCTGTGGCTTTCAACATAGTGCTGGCTACCTGGTACAAGATTTCTGGATTTCTTTTCAAGTCAGGTAATGAGAATAAAAGGAGGCAGCCTGAGTAGGAATAACAGAATTCACCTCTGTAGTTGTGGATAAGACTGACACCAATACTAGGAGCCAGGGCCAGGTGGCAACACACCCAGGGTGTGTTAAGCAGTGGCCACTGGAGGAATCAGGCCAAGCTCGCCATTGTATAGTGCTGACGGCCTAGGCCCAGGGTCACAGATCAAGACCAGAACTTGGGTTTTCCGATTCCAAGGCTCCAGAGCTCCTTGGGGTTCACAACGCTGCTTCTTTCCATTTCCATCGTGTGAGGACTGCATCAGCTCCCACCTGATACAAATAAAAGTCTGCATGCTCCATTTTGTACTTTGGCGGGGGGGGGGGGACCGAGCTGGACTTGGAAGTGAGCGGAAAACTCTAGGATTCATTATGAAAATTTCTGGAAAACAGCATCTGCCCAATTCAAAAAGATATTCTCGATGCACTGTTTTCCAAAATACTCTTTTTCATCATTTTCTAGCTTTGGATAAAGACAGAAGTTGTGTACTTCCTTTAACTTTCTTTGAATTATTAAGATTATTAAGAAAATTAACAGAAGCTCTAAGAAGCCAGTGTTGCAGTGCCGATGTGAGTGCAGGGGAAAGAGCACCAGCTCTGTAGTTTTGGGTTCAAATACAGCTTTGGATAGGGCATGTGTGGCCTTGGCAAAGCCACTGAACTTCCCAGGCTTCAGTTTCATTTATAAAATGACCAGATGGCAGTTCAAGGCCTTTTCAGCTCTAGGTCTATGTTCCTATGAAAACCTCGAAGTTTTCCTTGCAAACAGTCCAAAGAAAAACCTCTGCAGTAAGACACACTGTTTTCCAGACTGTCCAGCTGCTTAACTTCTGGAGATTTATGTAGAGGAGAAATGGGTGATACCAAGCATTCTCTTGCTTGCATATTAACAGTACCTGGGCTCACTTTTCAATGCTGTTTTTAAGAGAGTAGACGGCTGGTTCCAGTTGAGCAATCTCCTGCTTTAATCAGGTGTAAACCTGGTTGGTGTGGAGGATCAAGGAGGTACATAGTCAGAGGACTTTCTTCCTTGTGTTACTTTATTTTTCAATAGGAAAAAACCAAATGCAAGCCTTAACTCTCAGGTATGTACTGAAGATTCATCTTCAGCACGAAATCATCCTTTTTATTTTCAAGGTTTCCTGTAATACATGTGGAAGCATCTATAGCTTTTCCCTGAAGCTTCATCTACCCCTGGCTGCACATAAATGTTTCTCCAGGTTATGTGTCAGAATGGAGAGTGGTTGAAGCCCTCTTCCCATTCAATTGCTATGATCCCTTTTTCTCCCATTCTGTGTCTGGTATGCAATTTGTGTCCCATGGGCATTTTAACAGCATCAATAAATATACGAATGATTTGGAGCTTCAATAGGAAAAGTTAAAGAAACTCAACTCCTAGTTCTACCCCCACACCCCAACAAAGAAGGAAGGAAGGAAAGGAAATAAGCATTTATTAAGTGATTACTCATTTCTAGGAGCAGCTAGGTGGCAATGTAGTGGACAGATTACCAGGCCCGGAGTCAGGAAGACTCATCTTGAGTTCAAATTGGGACCAGACACTGACTAGCTGTGTGATCCTGGGCAAGTCACTTTACCCTGTTTGCCTTGGTTTCCTCATCTGTAAAATGAACTGGAAAAAAGAAATGGCAAACCACTCCAGTATTTTTGCCAAGAAAACCCTAAATGGGGTCAGAAAGAGTCAGACATGACTGAAAAACAACTGAACAACAAGAACTGAAAACGCTTACTGTTTGCCAGGCACTGTGCTAAATGCTTTACAAATATAATCTCATTTGATCCTCACTACAACCTTGAGAGGTAGATGCTATTATCCCCATTTACAGTTGGGGCAACTGAGGCAAAGAGAGAAGTGACTTGTCTGGAGTCACACAGCTAGTAAGTGTCTGAGTCTGGATTTGATCTCAGGTCTTCCTGACTCCGGGCACCTCAACAAGGCAGATTATGTCACCTATTTAAATGAAAAAATATTTTACAAGCATTTATAAGTGTGTGCTATGTGCCAGCTACTGGGCAAAGTGCTTTACAAATGTTATTTTATTTATCCTCATGATAGCCCTGGGTGGCAGGTAACATCTGCTTCAGCCAACTGAACTTGGGTTTTTTCTTCATCATGGGGCTACCCCAAAGTCGCACACTTGTCTGGCTTTCTAGATTGTCACAGTGCTGCCTTTGGGTACTTTGGTGGTAAATGACGCATTGTTCCACCACCCTGGCCTGCATTATGGAGTGAAGTGGTGACTCACATGTCACCTATCCCAGTGGAGAGAGTGTCAGGCCTGGAGTCAGGAAGACCTGAGTTCAATTCAATTAACCTCAGTCAGCCTCAGTTTCCTTAACTGTAAAATAGGGATCATAACAGCACTTTTGAACATTGGAAGCAGTTTTAGGTTTCAGGAAAGAGAAAGTATTTAAACTTTCTGGTAACTTTAAAAGAAATCTTGATGAATCTTTCAATCAATGAAAAGTGATAAAACTGGTTCCTATTTTCTTTTCCCCTTCAATGACAGGACGTTCCTAGAGTAGAACCTCATCTTGCAGAGGTTTACAAATAGCAGAGTTAGAATAACTTTAAATGAATCAAGATCAATTAAATCTCTCCTAGGACTCAGTCCTCACAAGTACATTTATTTACCAAAAAATAAAAGCTCAATGACTTTGTTGAAGGCTTTCTTTAGAAAGATAGCTTTTTCCCCCCAGTTTTCTACCTTTCAACATATCAACATCATCTCATCAGTTAAAGATATAGTAAGCATTAGGTACAGTCTTCCCCCAAAGGATTTTTATTACCAGAACTGAGGTTTAATGAATCCCTTCTCTACTACAGTGCTAATACTCCACAATTCTCTACTAAAAAGAACACCTGTATAACAGAAATTAATCTAGTCCTAAGAATTCAGTTCTAAACATTGGCCTCTTGTTTACATGTAAACACCACGACAACATGCTACTAAAATTGAAATGTATGTCATCACATATAATGTGGGATATGGAAATTGGGACACACCTTTAATGCTGGACCAAACTAAAAAATGATACTTTAAAAGCTTACTATACCAAGGGTCCTGAGAGAAGTAAAACACATGACATTATAATCTTCCCATAGTACTGTATGAAGAATGAGGCTAAGTACAGGTTAGGAGGAAAGGAAACCAACTAAGGGAAAGCACTCAGACATACTGATGTTAGTCTCTTACTACTGGGAATGTTCTATATGCAATGACACATAGCTTTGGTCCCTATCCCGAGCTACTCTACCTCCCCACTGTGAAAACTGACACAGATGACTCTTTAGATCAACCACTAGTTTCATGTGGCACATTCTAATGCTCTAGTATATGTCCTTTCTCCTCTACTCCCCTTCTCACTATCCTCGTTCAGATCCTCCTCATCATACCATGCCTGCTTGGATTCTGGTAATGACCTTGTAACCTCTTCTCCTTAACTACAGGCTCATTCACTTCCAAACTATCCTGGACACCACTTCCAGATGAACATTCCTAAACTAGCACAGCAATTACTGAATGTTGGCCCTAGAAGGACCCATGAGGCCCATTTACTCTAATCCCTTCATTTTAGGGAAAAAGAAAATGAGTCTAAGGAAAGGAGGAAACTGACTCCCTGATCACAGGATTTCCCTGCCCCACAAGCTACAGCAATGTCATATTCCTAGTTGTTACAGAAACATTTCTGAAATGAGTGATTCCATCTTGCATTTGTAACAAGAATGCATACTCTAAGCCAGGGATGGGGGAACCTGCTCTAAGCACAAGTATCTAGCATGTTCCAAAAGTTTTTGTGCACTTTTAAGCTACTGAAAGCTCACAACTGCATGAAGACTGTTGGGACACCAGGGAGATTAGATAATAATCTAACGTCTGAGGTGATGTATATCAGCACAAATAATTTTGGCTACCCATTATATAATATAAAAGCTGGTATTATTATTATTAAGAGTATATATATATATATATATATATATATATA